AAGCTATCCTCCCACCTCAGCCTCCTGAGTAGCTGGGACTATAGGTGCATGCCACTGTGACTAACTACAGCGTTTTTGTTTGTTTGTTTGTTTTTAAACTGCATAATTCCTTTAAGCTGGTAATATATCTCCCTCCAAATCTCATGTTGAAACTGATCCCCAGTGTTGGAGATGTGGCCGGATGGGAGGTGTTTGGGTCATGGGGCCAGATTCCTCATGAATGGCTTGGTGCTATCCTCCAGGTAATGAGTGAGTTCTCACTCCATTATTTCCCATGAGAACTGATTGCTAAGAGCCTTCTGGGTGTGGTGACTCATGTCTATAATCCCAGCTACTCACAAGGCTGAGGCAGGAGGATCACTTGAGGCCAGGAGTGCAAGACCAGTCTGGGCAACATAGCAAGACCCTGTCTCTTAAAAAAGGAAAAAATAAATTAGCCAGGCATGGTGGCACGTGTCTGTAATCCCAGCTACTCAGGAGTCTGAGGTAGGAGAATTATTTGAGCTCAGGAGTTTAAGGCTGTAATGAGCTATGATCCCACCATGGCACTCCAGCCCGGGTGACAGAGCAAGACCGCATCTCTTAAAAAAAAAAAAAAAAGAGCCTGGCACCTTCTTCCTGCTTCCCCCCTCCATCTCATTCCCCCTCCATGTGACATGTGACATGCCAGATCCCCTTTACCTTCCACCATGAGTGGAAGCTTCCTGAGGCTTTCATCAGAAACAGATGCTGACACCATGCTTCTTATACAGCCTACAGAAAAATGAGCCAAAGAAACCTCTTTTCTTTATAAATTACCTTGCCTCAGGTTTTCTTTTATAGCAATGCAAACGGACTAAGACAGCTCGTTTATTGAGATATACGTGCCACAATTTCTCCAAGATATTTATGAAATAATCACAAAATACTCATCGATATTTTCATAGGACTACAACAAACGATTACTTGACTACATCCTTACCTAGTTCAATGTTCTGGGATGTATCGGCTGTATGGAGAGCTGCCTCCTTGCCAGGTTTCAGTGTCCCATTAATTGGCATTCCTTTAACATAAAATTCAAGTTCACAGGGTAGCAAGTTGCAGATTACCACAGTTGGCAGAAGATATATAGTATGCCCGGGCTGTCTGAAAATCTGTTTTGCACTGTCAGAAAATATGTTTGAGGGCATGTAATCTGGATAATTCTCTTTCTTTATAGCCACACAAAACCTATGAAGACAAAATGGTGTGAAAACCATCAGCCTGAATGAAGAATTTTTTTTTCTCCTTAGCTGAGTCTGAGAAAGAGTAACATTAAAATGATATAAGTCAGTAAGATATTTGCAATTTTCAATCCAAATACATTTGGAAGTGTAATACACAATGAAATGTATAGATTTAAACGTTCGGTTTGGTGAATTTTGACAATTATATACACTTCTATAACCACCACCTGAAACAAATTATAGAATATTTCTCTCACCCCTGAAAGTTCCCTCATGTCCCTTTTCCACTGATATTCTCTTCCGTCATTCATGTAACCACTTTCTAATATTTATCACTATGGATTGGTTGTGTCTGTTCTTGAACCGCATAGAAATGGGATCATGCAGTATATACTATTCTTTGTGCCTGGCCTTTTTTCCTTAACATGGATCCTCAACAAGATTGAGCAATGTTGTTGCATACATCATATTTGATTTTTACTCACTGCCTAATAGTACACCACGGTATGAATAAATCACTTTTTATTTATTCATTATCCTGTTGAGAGCCAACTGGGTTGCTTCCAGTTTAGGACTAAATGAACATTCTTCTACAAGTATTTTTGTGGCCATATATCTTCACTTCTCTTAGGTAAATACCAGGAGTAGACTTGTCGGGTCCTTAACTTTTATAAAAAACTGCCACGAATTTCTCCAAAGTGGTTGTGCCATCTGATACTCCCACTAGCTATTTATAAGAGTTCCAGTTGTCCACATCTTTGTCAACTTTGGTGATCAATCCTTCTTGTTTTAGCCATTCTAGTGAAAGCAAAATATTATTCATTGTGGTTCAGATCTGCATTTCCCTAATGATTAATGAGGCTAAGCATCTTTTCATTTGTCTACTGGCCATTTGTATATTCTCTTCTGTAAATTGTCAGTTCAAGTCTTTTGCCTAGTCTTATTAGGTTGTTTATCTTTTTACTGTAGATTTGTAGGAAGTTCTTCACACATTCTATATAAAATTCCTTCGTCAGACGTATATATTTTTCCAATTCTGTGGCTTGTCTCTTCCTTTTCTTACTGTTGTCTACGGATGAACCAAAAATTTTAATTTTAACAAAGTTCAATTTCTCAAGTTTTTCTTTAGTGTTTAGTACTTCTTGTGTAGGCAATCATTGTCTACTCCAAAGTCATGAAGGTATTTTTCTATGTTTTCTAGAAACTTTATTGTTCTGAGTTTTACATTTAGGTCCATGATCCATCTCAGATTAAGGTTTGCATATGAAGTGGGATAGGGGTTAAAGTTCACATTTTCATATGGATATATATCCACTTGTTTCAGCAATATTTGTTTAAGACTTTCCTTTCCCTCATTTAGATGGACTTGGCTCCTTTGATAATCAAGTCTCCATATATGCATGGGTCCATTTCTAGATTCCCTTTTTTGTCACACTGATCTATCTTCTATTTTTATGACATTTACATACTGTCTCAATAACTGTGGCTATACAGTGAGTCTTGAAAACAGATTTTATACTTCCTCTAGCTTTGTTCTTCTTTTCTTTTCCTTTTTTTTTTTTATTTTAAGAGATGGGGTCTTGCTATATTGCCCAGGCTGGTCTTGAACTCCTGGGCTTAAGCAATTCTCCCACTGTGGCCTTCCAAAGTGCTGGGTTACAGGTGTGAGTCATCATGCCAGCCTGTTCTTTTTAAAGATGACACTAAATAACACGATCCCTTGTATTGCCATATAAATTTATAATAGTTTGTCTATTTCTTCAAAGCAGCCCAATGGATTTTGATAGGGATTGTATTATATCTTCAGATCAATTTATTGAGAATGGAAATCCTAAAAATACCAAGTCTTCCAACCCATAAACTTGGTATCTCTTTCTACTTATTTAGATCTTCTTTAATTTCTCTCAGCAAGGTTTTATAGAAATTTGATGTAGAAGATTCATACATCAATCCTTAGATTGGTTCCTGAGTATTTAATGTTTTTGATGCTATTGTAAATGGTGTTTTTCTAAAATCACATTTTCCCATTGCTCGTGGCTAGAGCATAAGAATACGACCGATTTCTACAGGCTGACCTTGAATCTTGAAATCTTGACAAATTAGGTCTAGCAATTTTCTTACATATTCCATGCCTTTTCTACATACCTAATCATGTCATTTGTAAACGACGACAGTTTTACATCTTTTCAGATCTTTATGCTTTTTTGACATCTTATCTATTATTTATTTAGCCTTACTGCAATAGCTAAGACTACTACTGCCGTGTTAAGTAGAGTACCTGGTTTCCAAGAGTAAAGGGAAAAGACTTTAATGTTTCACCATCAAGTATGATGTTAGCTGTAGGTTTATCATAGATGCCCTGTAGCAGATTTTAAAAGTTCCCTTCTATTCCTGCTTTGCTGAGTATTATGAACTGAATGCGTCACCCCAAAATTGCTACGTTGAAGCCTTAACCCCCAATGTAATGGTATTTGGAGGTGGGACCTTTTGGAGATAATTATATTTAGTAGAAGTGATGAGGGTGGGGCCCCCATAATGGGATTAATGTACTCATAAGAAGAGGAAGAGAGACCAGAGCTTGCCGCCACTCTCTCTGTGCCATGTGAGTACACAACAAGAAGGCAGCCATGTAAGTCACCAGGAGGAAGAGCCTCACCAGGAACTGAATCAGCAGGCACCTTAATCACGGACTTCCCAGCCTCCAGAACTGTAAGAAATAAATGTCTATTGCTTAAGCCACTCAGTCTATGGCATTTGGTTACACAGCAACCTGAGCTGACTAAGACACTGAGCATTATCATGAATGGATGTTAAATTCTAGCAAATGCTATTAATATTTTTTTGCATTGGCCGAGATTATCTGATGTATTTTCTCTTTTAGCTTCTCAATATGGTGAATTACATTTACTTATTTTCAAATGTTAAGCTAATCTTACATTTCTGAGATAAACCCACTTACTGGATATCTGCATGTCTTCATGGGGGACACTGGTTCATAGCTTTTTTTCTCTTATAGTGTTGATACAGATCTTGTGCAGAGAATGGGTATTATTTCTTCCTTAAATGTCTGGTAAAATTCACTAGTAAAGTCATATGGGCCTAGAGTGTTCTTTTTGGGATGGCTTTTCTATAAATTAAATTTCTTTGATAGATATTTAGATTTTCTATTTCTTCTTTTTATCAGTTTTCATAATTTATTTTTTTCAAGAAAGGTGTTATTTAAGTGTGGAATTGACTAGCATAAAATTGTTATCTCCTTTTCATCCTTTTAATGTCTGTAGGATCTGCAATAATGTCTCCTTTTTTCATTCCTGGTATTGGTAATTTGTATTTTCCGTCTTTTCTCCTTGATCAGTCTTGCTAGAGGTTTATCAAATTTTTGAATCTTTTTAGTAAGCCAATTTTGACATTATTGATTTTCTATTTGTTTCTAATTCACTGATTTCTACCCTTATTTTTATTGTCTCCTTTTTCTATTTCTTTGTGTTTAATTCACTCTTCTTTTTCTGGCTTAAGGTAGAAGATTAAATCAACGATTTTATATATTCCTCATTTTCTAATATGAGGATTAAAAACTATAACTTCCCCCCTAAGAATTGCTTTTGCTACATCCTGCTTTTTATTATTGTTCAATTCAAAATATTTTCTAATTTCCTTTGCGATTTCTTCTCTGACCCATGGGTTACTTAGAAATATGTTGTTTAATTTCTAAATATTTGGGAATCTATTAGGTATCTTATTCTGTTATTTTTACTTTAATTCTATTGTGATCAGGAAATATATTCTGTATCATTTTAATTCTTTAATATTTATTGATCTTTGTTTTATGGCCCAACAGATAGGATCTCTCTTAATGAATGTTCTACACATACTTGAAAAGAATGTACAATCTGGAGTTGTTGGCTAAAGTGTTCTGTAAGTATCAACTAGATATAAGCTGACTGATAGCATTGTTCAAATCTTTTATATCTTTTTTGATTTTTTTGGTATAAATTACTGAAGGGAAATGTTAAAATCACCAGCTACGGCTATTTATCTATTTCTCCCTCTAGTCTGTTAACCACTGGCAAAACTGAGTAAAGGGTATACTGGAATTCTACAATTCTATTGTATCTCTTCCCTAAGTTTAAACTAAATGAATGCCTGTCTTAAGTACAAAGGAAACTAAAGCTAATAATCTCTACCCAAGTTTAAAGTCTAGGTTTATTAGGGTCTAATAACAGCAATCTAATAACAGTATTTTTTCCAACATGGAATCTAGTAACATATTCCTTATATTCTTCAGAAGGGGAAAACAGCAGTTTAAACACTTAGGCAATTTTGTCAAAGTCCTCAAGCAAGTCAGCATTAGGCTCACGAACCTTCTGAAATCTCACTCAAAAAACTGCCAGAATTTTGCTTCCCAATTTAGGAATGGGAACTGGTTATTTTGGGGGGGATTTTTTCCTTCCCCTCCCTATATGTCCTCACTTTAAGCTGATGTACACACACAAGTTTCTCATCTTGTACATGTGAGTAGTGTGTTTGTAGGTTGTTTCTCCCACAAATATCAAATGATAAACAAGCCCCTCCGACTCCCACCAAGGGTTAAGTCTTTTTTTTTTGAGACAGAGTCTCGCTCTGTTGCTGGGGCTAGAGTGCTGTGGCATCAGCCTAGCTCACAGCAACCTCAAACTCCTGGGCTCAAGTGATCCTTCTGCCTCAGCCTCCCAAGTAGCTGGGACTACAGGCATGCGCCACCATGCCCAGCTAATTTTTTCTATATATTTTTAGTTGTCCAATTAATTTCTTTCTATTTTTAGTAGAGAAGGGGTCTCGCTCTTGCTCAGGCTGGTCTCCAACTCCTGAGCTCAAACAATCTGTCCACCTCGGCCTCCCAGAGTGCTAGGATTACAGGCATTGAGCCACCGCGCCCGGTCAAGGGTTAAGTCTTGAGTTCTCATGAACTCTAACTCAAGAACTTCAGGAATAACAATTGTAGGGCTTTGCGTTTTTTTTTTTTTTAGACAGAGTCTCGCTTTGTCACCCCAGCTGGAATGCAGTGGGGTCATCACAGCTCACTGTAACCTCAAACTCCTGGGCTCAAGCAATCCTCCTGCCTCAGCCTTCCAAGTAGCTGGGACTACAGATGCAGGCCACCATGCCTGGCTAATTTTTTCTATTTTTTTGTAGAGACGAGGTCTTACTCTTGCTCAGACAGGTCTCGAACTCCTGACCTCAAGCAATCCTCCCACCTCAGCCTCCCAGGGTGCTGGGATTACAGGCATGAGTCACCACACCTGGCCAAGAATTGTAGGGTTTTTAATAAGCACAACTAAATCACTAAGGGCCCTTAGAGAAAGAATGGTAATAGAGTCACGTCACCCTGAAAAGAAGAAAAAGAAAAAAAAAAGCAAAAGTGGCATGCCATGGTAACAGTACTACATACCTGAAGAATCGGCTTTTTTCTGTGTCCATAGAGTGGCACTCTCGTTTGCTACTACTAACCTCGGTAGTCTTCACTACATTGGTCCAATGAATAGGAGCCTTACAGAAAAATACACCCAATCCTTTGGGCCGGGCCTGTAGCCGCCAAGAAGTGAGGTGTAAAGGCACAGCAAATGAATCCCCTGGCATGACAGCAGGAAGCACCACTGGTTCTGCCACAGAAATAAGTGTCAGCACTTTCAGGCAATGGTCCTACACCCCAAAGATCGACTATCTCAGGACAAAAGGAAGAACAGGGTACACTGACTGCTTGAGAAGATACTACTAGGGAAACAGAGACCTGACAACAGTCAACAAATATTTATCGAGCTTTTACTACATTCTAGACAACCAAAACGTACTGTCTGGAGCTGACGGGCTGTCCAGTCTTAGTTCCATTGGTGTCTCAAGTCTGTTCCTCACAATGAGGGCTGATCGGACAGTGATTACTTTCCGAGCACTGCCTTCCATAGTCACTGCAAAGACCACCCGGACAGGTGGGAGTGAAGAGAACTGTGAAAGAGAGAGAGAAATAAAACAGCTGTGCTTTCTGAAAAAAACACACAGGATACAACAATATCAACCAGAATGTCTAAATCAAAAGCATCTTATTGCTATAACTCTTCAGTGAAATCAGTCATTAAATCCTAAAACCATTCTGCTTTAAAAGGAATGAATATCCTAAAATACATATTATTAAAAACAGCCAATTCTAAAAATTTCAACAAAAATAGATAATCTACTCATATGTGGTATCACACAGAGTGTCACAAGGAAAAATCAGCCCTAAGCCTCTAGTAACATTATAAAGAATGTTCGCCTAAGACTGTGGTAATAACCTATCTAATTTTCTAAACTTCCTGCAATGTGGTAAGAAAGAATCTGCTGGAAGTTATCCTTCATTCATACTCCCTTGGGTTCCTACACATCAGCCCTTATATGGAAACTGTGAAGAAGACTTGTTTTCAACTCTACTGGAGGGGAATAAAATGAAGATCACCCAAGCAACTAAAATTAGAAACAATGGGGTAGGACTTTGCAAAACATTAAACGATTTCCCTTCTATGTTATTTTCCTCTCAGATTAGTATTAAATTGAGAAAGCATTCCTTGAACACTAACAATGGGTTGGGTACTACCCAGACATACACAGAAAAACAGAAGAAAGCCTTCTGAGATTAAGACTCATCTTTGTAAAATCCAGAGAGGGTATAAGGAAGAATTGTCTGTATTAGTGTGCCTTTCACAGGAATAAATAATAATGTTTTTTCTAAATATCATGAAATTTACTCTTTAGGCCCATATACTATTCATTGGCATGCTTATAGAAAAGCCAACATTTGTATTTCAAAGAACTTTAAAAACAAAATTTTCTTTCTTCAAAAAACCCTCTGAGTTCTATTCAAAATTCACTCTCTTATAAACAGGACACCAAGTTTCAGAAACTCAACATAATTGAGAGAAATTATTTATTTCTGGTTTGGGGTTACAGCCATTATGTTAGTTTTCCATATGTTCATTCACACATTCAACAGACATTTTGTGTTAATACCATGTGACAGGAAATTTTCTTAAAAGCATAAAATCCCAGTTTAGGTATACCAAAGGGAAAGTTTCTCAAAGTATTACTCTTAGAATGCGTGTCTAGAACATATTAACAATGTTTTTTACTGGAGAAACAAATGGCATCACATTCAAGCTTTTCATTCCACCAACTTTTTTATTAAGACAAACAGTATATGAAAATCAACCCAATAAACAATAAACTGAAGAGCTCCATGTTTTGAACCAAAACTTCTATGAAGTCTAAATGGAAAGGCAAACTATAATTTTCTACAGTGTTTTTAGAAGGACACAATTCTGGGCATAAATCATCATCAAAGCTCAAGCTTCCACTGACCCAGCCCCTGCAGGGCTCCGATATTCAAAGCCAATAACAATTGCTTAAAATTTTGACATTGTTGCCTCCAGATCTACCTGAAATTTTATATTTCAAAACTTAAGATCCTCAGGGAGAAGAAATTACAAGCAAAAGCCTGAAAAGTTTTTTAATGTTATCTTATAATGGTGTTTCCAAAGCCAAAAAGGAAAAAAAAAATTTTACTATTTTTCCTTCTCGTTTACTTTCAAGATGTTTAGACCCAAATCTATGAAATACATATGGCCATAACAGGGTTAATTTCTATTTTAACTTAGAAAGAAAAATAGACCTTGAAACAAAACATTTGGCTTTTCTTCTTCCCTGTACTACTTGGTCTCACACACCAACATAGGTGAAAACATTTTCTTCCAAGTTTTTGGGAAAGGAAGGTAATCATTAATATAAAAGGGCAGAGATAAATTCCAATCACATATATGTCATTGAGTCCCCTGGCCATCTAGAAATACACATCTAGGTATGGTTCAGGCACAGTGCATATACTCAGTAAACACAATGACAACAGGAAAATCATACTCACGTAAACCTGGGGATGGATAATATTTGTCCTGCTGCTTGGGCTGCCAATCTAAGAAAGATTCCAAAAGTCAGAGAGTCAGCACAGACCTAAGATAATAGGCATCATTAAATTCAGTAACAATATAATCTGCTTGAAAGGCTAGTGTTTACAAATACTTTTAGGTAAAGTATGGTCTACTATGAAGATAAAACATCTTTTCTTGAAAGATATGGGGAAAACAATATTTATTTTACAACCATTCATTGTATACCAAATTTCTCCATTCAGAATACTTCAATACAATAGAAAAGTATCTATGGGCGAATTTAGTCCTTTCATTACCAGACACGAACTTAGGCAATAAAGCAATCTTCAAAAAAAGGTAAGTTTTTTGGTTTTATCCCTCCTGAGAAACATGAGGCACCAGAAAACAGTGAAATCGAACACTTGTGGAACAGTGCTCTCCAAGACTATTTTTCATGAAGAAAGCAAGCACGAGGAAAGCTGCAATATCTCTCTGCAAATTTGTACTTTCCACCTCACCACCAGCTACGCAAAAGTGAGCGCAATTATCCTGTGAAGCATGAACAAGTATTGGCAAGAGTGCCACAGCAGCTCCGTCGGCCAGGAGGCCAGCTTCCATCCGCACGCTAGCCAGGCCTACTACCTGCGTCATTCCCTGGGCAGATCCTCCAACCCCGAGGACTACGGGATGGTGTAAAATTAGGGCAAGAGTGCATGGGAGCATGTGTGATCAGAAAATAAACAACAGTAGACATTTCTTTGTGCCACAGAGAAGGATTTGGAGACAAAGTGAAAAGGATCAAGGAGCAGCATTATAAGGAATGTAAAAAAGACACTGTATGAAGAAAGCATAACCACATGTGAAAAACAGCCAAGACTCATCTTTGGCAGACTAGTAAACTGCCAGTCAGGCCAGCCAGGCATGAAAAGGATCTGCGCAGGTGAGGTAACATGTTACTGTCAATTTTACATCTTGTTTTTCTACTGAAATTAGTCATTGCCTGGCTTATCTACATATTGATTACCAACACCTATAACTGACCCAATATGACCTTAAGTCTTCTTCCTAGAATTAGGGCAAATAAAGAGTAAGAAAATTATACTAGAGCAAGACTATCACAGGCTTAACCATCTGACCGACTGGCTTTAAGGGGGTGTGGCCCTGGCACAACTCTGCCATTGAACACCCATTCTACAGCCACACACCGTAGAGGAAGATGAATTTTTATCTGGTGCAGCATATCGAAAAAAGGTCCCAACTTTGTCCACAGACACTGGGCTCACTTGTTCCCAGCCATTTACTCTCACTTGCAGCTGATGAATCCGGAGATCATGGGTGTGTCTGTCAGGTAGAAGATGGAAAAAAGATATTAAGCACAATCTCAAGAAGTGAAGAAAAGTAGAAGCAAAGACTCAAATCTGATTTACTACATAATGATGTAAAAACCCAGTTGGCTAAATCTTTTGGGGATTACCTAATACAAGGGAAATCAAGAGCACAGTTACACTTACGACACAAATTGCAAAATCTATAAAACTTGAGCAAGAGTGGCATTTACCCTGGATTGTACAAACCAAGCAAACCCTGTACGTGAGCCCAGGTCTTTCCCCCACCAACTCTACCCCAACCTTTAGAAAACAATGACGTCAATGGGGTGGTAAAAATGTACTAGCCATTTAACCCAATAACCATACTCTTGCATTAAAAATGTCTTCTTCTTGGTTCCTTTGTTGAATATCCTACTTCTCTAAGAACCACACTCAGTTCTTTGGCTTTAACCCTACATAACTACAGAAAGCGTATGCAAGACAGAGCCCTCAGAGTTTTGGGGCTGAAGTGCTCGGCTGAAATTGGAGCAGAAGGCAGTGGGCAGAACAGGAGGAACGGGAGGAAATTGCACATTTAATTCTATTTTGGATTTTGCCTAATTCAAGCCAGAAGTGAAATGGGGAACTGGATTTGAGGCTGACAGGAAGGGAGGAGGGAGGCACGGAGTGGGGTACAAAGTGCCAAAGCGGGGGAAGCCAGAAAAGGCATTTACTTTGATGAATTCAAGCAGAATAGTGGGACTTGAGGTGGGTTACGAAACATAGAAACAAAAACAGAAATGACAAAGAGGTCAAACCCTTTCTTTCTTTTTTTTTTTTTTTGAGACAGAGTCTTGCTCTGTTGCCCGGATTAGAGTGCCGTGGCGTCAGCCTAGCTCACAGCAACCTCAAACTCCTGGTTCAAGCGATCCTTTTGCGTCAGCCTCCCGAGTAGCTGGGACTACAGGCATGCGCCACCATGTCCGGCTAATTTTTATATATATATATTTAGTTGTCCAGATCATTTCTTTCTATTTTTTAGTAGAGACGGGGTCTCACTCTTGCTCAGGCTGGTCTCAAACTCCTAACCTTGAGCGATCCACCTGTCTCAGCCTCCCAGAGTGCTAAGATTACAGGCATGAGCCACCACGCCCGGCCATCAAACCCCTTCTGATACAACAGGGGCTAGGCTTATTAAGAAATACTGCCAACAGTTCTATACTTAGCTTCTCCAAGAATTATGTGGAGGAACGGGAGAATGCTCACCACTCATTCCTGGAAACTATAAAGTGGCTTCCAGATACATGTGCCCAGCACAGTGATTTTTTTAAACTTTTTTTTTTTCTCTAAGACCCCTGGAAACCCACACATTCAGAACTCTTGTCTCTTGAGAATAATGTGTGTGAGTACAAAGCTATGCAAAAGCAAGAAGTACTTGCCTTGGGAGTGGGTCTGCACACAAAGACTCAGAGCACCATGAAGAGCACATGACTATAGAAAGCTGAAACCAATCTCTTCAATTTCAGCTCAGTTTGAAAACAAGTATGAGGCTCAAATACTAAATCTTAACCAATTCAAAGATTAAGTCTTAACCTATTGATATCCACTGGATAGCCCTTCCATTTAAAAATCTTTGTAAATAATAGAACACTTTACTAGACACTTTATGATCTCTTAGTAACCAGATATAACCTTTTTTTACACTTATTCCAGTCTTTTGGTTGGCTACTTCAGGAATGCATCAGCTAGCAGTCTCCCTTGACAAGTTACTCTTGTTCTTCTTAGAATTTCTATCTTATCACTTACTATTGGTCTGCTTTCTAAAACTATCCACTTGCTAAGAGTACTATGTGATAGGCTTCTATGACTTGGGCTGTGTAAAAATGAACGAATCAATGAATGAATGAGCTATATGGCACATATGTACATTAAAATGGAAATCAACATGCTTTGAGCAAAGAATATCACAGCACTGCTGCATCATGAAAACCAGGTCAAGATACAATAAACCTGAGTGTTACGCTCTGTCTATGCTTCAACCAAATTATGTGAAACACACAGGTTATCACCTCACATGTCAAATAAATGGATAATTAACAGAAGACATGTATTTCCAAGATAACAAGACTGCCTACACTTTGTACTATATAAGGAAACACTGATTTTCAAAATATCTTTCAAAGTAAAATATTAAAATCTTCAAGAAAATGAAAAGGCAAAACACTACAATCATCAACATCTACTTTTTAAGGAAAAGAATAAGCCCTACTTTACCTGTGTCTTAATTTTCCTCTTGCTTCAAATTCAAATGGAATCTCCTCGCCTGTGAGGACTTCTCGCCATTCGCTCACATTGTGCGCATCATCAAGAAATGTTCCGTTCCCTTCCGGAACTACCCCTGGACTCCCACTGTGAGACAGTGCAGCCCTGGAACCGAATCAGAGGATACCAGCTTGCCCCTCATTCTCCCCAGCTCCCTCTCACAAGAGCTCCCGGCCGAGGAGCAGAACCCTCCTGGATTTGGACTCCCAGCAATAAGGCGTATAACTGGGCTCCAAAGGATGAACTAGAAGGTCAGTAACTACAGTCATCTTCGTGCTCACTAACAAATTATTTGAAATTTCAGAAATAACTGAAAGCTATCATTATATAGTCACTTCCCTCCAGCAGTAGAATTTGGTACACGTAATCTAAGGCATGACTTTTTAAAGTATCATGTAGGTGACTAGATAGAATTTAATAGACCTAAACTGTTAAAATAAACAGAAAACTTCTTTTCTAGAGCACTGCCATATTTAGTGGAGGCAGGATAAATGTTTATTTTCAAATCAATTGATTTTGTTATTCATTTCATGTACTTCATTATGTAAGTTGGAAAGATCACCATGTATTGGAGCCTTGAGCCAAGATCTAAATAGGCAGAAAGTTGTTAGAAAAGGTTCTCACTTGGCTTAGATAAACTCTCATTTGTTCTCCAAACTCCACCCAATTCCATCTGGGCTGAAGTGTGTTTTAGGTATGGATGATAATTCTTTAGGGGTGAAGGAGGATGGTGGATGTTTTCAAAGCACTCTTGGAAGAAAATGCAAAACGTTTAGTTTAATAACCATATATAGCTTCTCTAAAATGGTAAAGGGGGATGGAGACTAAAGAGAAGAGATGGAATGACTCTTTTTTCACACTTCCTACTCACATCCTTGATTGTCTCACTTTTAAACATAATGTATACCAAGATTAAGATCATAATTTGATTATTTCAGACTCAGGACCTACTTCTCTGTTTACAGATTCTACATAGAACCAGAACCTTCATCATAAACTCAGCAAGATAGCAAGTTATTGATTCAAATATAATCCTAAGAACCTCAAGAAGGGGCCTACCTTGCTCTCCTGGCCTGGTACAAGAAGGCTTTGGTGGCAGAGGTGACTCAGGATAGCAAACTGAGTGCTCCTTACCTGGTGGGCGTGGTAGTCAGGGTGGCAAACCACAAAGTGCACCCTGTGTGATTCCTCAGAGCAAAAGGGACAAATGGCTGTCGGCGCTTGGGGGTTTTCACCTCTGCTATGACAAACAGAAGAAGGTTATTAGCAGATGCTTCTATCTGCATGATAGAGACCCTCCCCATACCTGGAGACAGTGCTCAAAGCTGTTTCTTGACAAAGGGGCTGAAGGTAGGGGCAAGAGAGAAAGAACTACTATCAGGTTTGTCAACACGACAAACGAAGCTCCAGGTATTCGCTGGCTGCTGTGGGATGACTTGGTCTCCCCTCTGACTGCTCCCAGCCCCCAATTCTCCCACAGCTCCTATGGGGCTTATCGCTCAGAAGAAGGCATCAGGACCTAACTTGGCCAGAATCAAGAAAGAAATAAAAATGGACCTCCATTACTCCCAAGAAATACATTCTAAGTAGATAATCCAAATTGTAGCAAGATGTATTATCTGTACTTATTTATTTAAACTTTGTCCAAAAAGCCTTCATAAAAAAATAAGCCTTTAACGAAGGCTTTATATAATGAAGACTCCCTTTACATAAAAGTTAACCTTCAGTCATATCATGCATATTATAACAAAATAAAAACATTCTTTTCTATTCTCTTATACTAAGAGTTGTTTTTTTTCCTCCCTGGAAAATCAAAAGTATACTATCCCAAAGCTTTTTCTAGCTCATTTTTTAACACAGATACCACCACCTGTTATAAGGGTGTATGCAGGCTACAAAAGGAGCTATAACTTCTCTGTACAAAAGAGCTTCTAATCAGGAAAACTGGAAAAAACCGTGATCAACATGAAACTAAGTAACCAAATTCTAGAGTGAGTTGATCTGACTACAAACACAGTAAGAAATCCAAAGAAGGCTTTCCGGTGCTCAGACTGCCGTGGGAGACAGATCCCTCTGCAGGCGCCACTGCCTGTGCTGTGTCGTCTGGCATGGGGCAGAGAGTGCTGAGAGGAGGGGCAGCAGCTCCTATGACCAAAGGCCCATGTCTCCTCCACTGGCCACACACACAAAGAGGGAGGTGACAGCGGGAACCACAAAGGCAGCAGCAATCCAGTACAGGGAAGCCTCCTGGCAGACATGCTCACAACATATATGCACTACCAACAAAAAAGGGCGTGGCCCAGTCTTATTATGTGTCCAACTTTAAAGCAGAAGACAGCCTGAGAAAGACCATGACTCGAATGGTCTGCAGCTGTGGAGAAAACAGTATCTGGAGGGGACTGCAAATGCTGACTGTGGAGAGCACGCTAGCAAAACTGAATTCATCCTACAGGACCACATGTTTTCTGCCAATGAAATCGAAGGCAAACTGCCGCACATCCTGCCTTCTATGACCTCCCGAATAAGGCATGGGGCTATATCATAACGGTCAGTAATTATCACTGCGTTTTAAAAAGCAATTACTCCTTTTTTCCTCTTGTTCTTTTATTTTTCAGAAGTTAGTACCATAAATACTGCGAAACAAGCAATTTCGGGTCAAGGCAAGTTCTATTTTGATAATGACAATGGCTCAGTGGAGTTTAAGATAAAGTAATCTGCTAACTAAATGAGTAATCTCCAGTGTGTTCCCACAATTTTGTGGTCAGTCACTTAGAAACACCCTAAATACTTCTAAAGATAATCTCCACCTAGGAGGAATATGCCCATTTCTCACCCCAGTGGCCTCACTTGGTTCCCAACGTTTGCTTTAAAAAAAAAAAAAATAGTGCTCATCAAGTAGAAAATTAAGGAGTAGCTGTAAGGCTGCTGACAAGAGCAGAGGGGGAGTAAAAAATTTAAGAGCTGTCTGCAGGGTAAACGGTATTTACTGTGGCACTTTGAAAGGCACCTCCCTCTCCATGAGTGCAATGAGAGAGCTGCTTTTATTACAGTAGATAAAGGACCCAGGAGAAAAGAAGCCAGATGTGCTTTCATATCCCACTGTGAGCCAGACTGTAAGTTTCCATTTGCAAATTAGATTTAAAAAGAACAGGTGGCAGATGGCTTTGATCACTTTGTAATACAGAATAAAGTGCTAGGAATCCATACAAAGATATTCACAAGTATACGGCTTTGGAATTAAACAGCATGGGCAGGCACACTGCTTAGGCCCCCAAGCTTCTTGTGTTGATTAGACATAACAGCACAGACTTCAGTAACCCATTTCTCTGAGGATAAAAATACAAGGAGTGCACACAAATCCAAAGCCGACATCAGGCAACAAATCTGACATCTCCTGCACTGGGGTCCAAATAAACTGTGTACTTGCCTTTGGCAGAGTACCAGAGGAAAAAAATTCCCGAGTCCATCAAAGAGAACATTATTCCCTGATGGCCTCAGGAAATCTGCCCCCAGTGACCAAACCCAATTTCTTCATGGGCTGAGAGAACCTAAAGCTCCCTCACGTCCAAGTTCAGCTTCAAACAGTTCCAGCTAAGGAAATTTCTACTCCTTTGGACTTGTTTCACAGAGTAATTTTGCCATTATAAACAGTGTACATTTTCACGCTATATAAGCAGCTCAGTCCATCAGAAAGGACCTGGGTTGTAAACCATAAGAAATAGATTAAAGTCCCAGGTCTGCTACTAGCTAGTCAAGTGAATGAAGGCAAATTACACAGTTTCTCTAAGCCTCACTGTCCTCATCAGCTAAATATGAATAATGTCTGGCTTAGCCTGAAAGATTAAATAACACACAGAAAAGCTTTGAAGTATTATCCATGAATAAATGAAGATTCAGCCGTGAGCTTTCTTGGTGAGCCCTCCCTCAAACATCCATCCTGGCAAAACCTTCTAGAAAAAAATACCATAGCAATGTCCCCATGTATATCCCCCTTCTGTACTCTTGGTAGAGGAAGCTCAAATGGCTTTTGTCATAAAAAATATCATGACCCATTATGTCCAAACATAAATCGTTCAGATTAAATCACACTCCTTAAAACAAAGGAAGAAATGGACACCTTGGGATTCCAATTCCTCAGTGTTTAAGGGGTTTTCTATCACATTCACTTGCCAGTCAAATTCTCAAGGAACTTTAAAGGGTCAGAAATAGAAATAAAGAATATTTTCATTTCCATCACCTAAGCACATAAATCCACATCTAAAGAAATTAAGGTTTGTGTCTAAGCAATTATTTACTGGGAAATTTTTTCTTAGCTCTATTCCTGATTATTTTAGCTCCTATTCCATAGAGCCCTTTGCATTCCAATGAGAGTAAGTGTTCATTGAGTATTCTGTAAACAAAGACCTATAGCACTGCAGGCATGGTGTTCTTCCCTCTACTTGCTTTTCAATGTGAGAAATGACCTCTAATTGACAGTGGATATTTCTGTATCACACACTGTGGCGTTTACCACACTTCCACCAAAGGTTAAGGGAGATGGAAGAGAGATAATATAAGAATCGGCACATCCCTTACTTCTGATATAAAGTGTTACTCTGTTCATTAGTTGGAAATGTGCTTTTCTGTTACTAAAGCAAAGTATTCACAAATGGGTATACCCCCATTTGGCTCCCATTCACAAAAAATTGATGTACAAGGCAGTTCTTAAAACAGCAAAACAAAGCAAGCCCTCGCTTGGCTATACTGTACCTCTAGCATAGATCTGGTGCTCTAGGTTAGTCAGACTGGCTGTACTCCTAGTTCTAAGGTAGACAAGGGGGAGGCCTGGTAGACAGGAGAGACAAAGTTAGAGGGTAAGAATAAAAACAGTGAATAAGAAGACTCACCTCCAAACAATAAGCACAAATAGAGAACATTACAAAAATAGCAAGCATCATGCAATTACCAGGTCATTGCTTTCTGTAATTACTGTGAGCTAAGAATGCATTTGACAAAGTGAACACAACTTTCTCATGCTACCTTTTATTGTGCAGGATGTGTCAAAGTAGTTTGCTCCTTTATTTTTCTGAATTGGGGGAAGAACATGTATTGAACATTCTCTTGAATGTCATTGAACAGAATGACAAGCATTCCTAGGATTTTTAAAGCATGTTATGTTCTTAAATGGTGTAGAGAAGTTACAAAAACCAATCGGTACAGTTTTTAGTGGGGGTTGCTCCATTCCAATTGGAAAACAGAGCAGTAGAATGCTAGTCTCGGGGTCTAGAACATTCAGGGAAGGAGTTGGTATTTGTCCCAAATTTAAACAATCTCTACTAAGGAGCTATCTCATAGTATTGTCTATTTTTTTCCACAGTATTCTTTAAATTCTAATTAAGCATGGAAGTTTTCAGAATATTTAGATATTTCCATAAAATGTCCTTGAAATACAAAACTAATAAATTCAATGAAGTATCACACCATCCAGGTTTACCTGTAGAATTTCAGCCCTCACTGAACAAAGACAACAATTATGTTAAAATGAGGCCAATATTTTCTTTCCGCTGTAAACAACGAGAAATCAGTAATTCCTTTAGGCTGAATTTCATGTGAAGGGCTATTCTAAGGGTTCAATTTAAGACTGGACTTAATAAAAAGCACAACTTTTGGGGGAATATAACTAAATATTCTTAAACAAGACCTGAAAGTTCGTGATCAGTTCAACAAGGTTGAAACCTATTCACTTTCGAAACAAATGTCCAGTGATCGTTTTAGTAGCTTACTAAAAGAATACAATCCTGGAATGTGCGATACTACCACCCAGGAACTTCCAATAAGAAAAGAGGTCTGGAAATTTAGGTATATTTAGTTATATCTGATTAAAAAGATACATTATACCTTTATAGGCCTGAGTAATTATAAAAATATGTAAGTAAATAGAAAATCAAGCTTTGACGTAGCACTGGCATTTAACATAAATGAGGCAGCGTATTAACTATAGAGAAAGTGAGAGGAAGGAAGAAGGGAGGGGGAGAGGAGGACAACAAGAAAATCCTTCATCAGAATCCTCAAGATTTGGCCTTCCTAGTGTTTGCACTGACTCTGGATTTAAGATCCCCCTGTCTGAGTGTTTTCAGAAACATACTCTCTCAGACATACTGAATATTACAAAGGTTATTTAGAGTCTTCTGGGTCAACTATGTTACATTTTCTTGACACACAAATTGGGAAGTTAGATGAGGAGGCAGAATTCAAGCTGATGATATCTGAAAAGCTGTGGCTCCTAAGTAATGACCTTGAGGCTCAGAAGCAACAGCCTGGGAACCCAGAGAGCAAGCACAGCTGACATGTTTTGTCTCTCCTTCTAGAAGTACAAGGCAGATCGAAAGTCCACTTATACACCCTGAGGAGAGATGAACCAGTACAAATACTTCGTACTCTAAGAAAACCCATCTTCCCGTGACACGTTTGTAGACCAGATGGAATATTTAAGTATTCATGAGCTATGTGAAGTCTGGCCAAGACTCCCCAAAGAAACCACACTGAAAGCGTTGGGGCTGAGCTGAATTTGGATGACAATGGCTTATGGAACAACTAAGACCACGCAGTTGTCCATCACAATCTCTCCAGCTCTGAGGAAAACAAAGCCGGTGAGGCATGAAATAAGAAAAGAAAACATCATCGACAGAGAACAAACTGACTCCTCTTTCTTCAAGAGGCTGGGCATTCAATCCTTTTATATTTTATGAACAATACAGTGCACCCTTTTAACATCTTTTTCCACATGGGATCCTGCTCTCCCTCTTTTCAAGAATATATCCAAACCCTCTAACTTTAGATCCAGAAGACCAAAAAGATATTTTTAAAAATCTGGTCAAAAAACCCAGTCGATTGGAAAACCAGTGTTTTGCTGATTAAATACAAACCAATAGCTGATCCTGATGCATTCTCAGGTGCACCAGTTCATATGCAATGTTACCAGAATTTAGGAATTAAGTGTTGCAGATCCTTTCTCCCCCGCAAAGGTAGAATTAGAGCCCACATTAAAAGTTCAGCAGTTCATGCCACAAAACTGTCTCTTGCAAAGACTAAAACAGAACTATAGAAGATAATCAGAATTTCCTGTAGGTTTTTCCATGAAGAATGATGGTTCTACCTGACTTTCTCAGTGGAGCATTACTCTGTAGGTCAACACTGATTTAGTTAGACATGCATAGAGAGAATTCTTACTTTGTCCAAAACATGGAGGATCCACCGAAGAGCCCATCCAGTCTTCTGATTGGGTTGAATCTGTTTCCTTGTTGTCTTTACAGTAATCTGCCATCCACGATTCCTTGGTACTTACATACTGGTCTAGAAAGAATCCCCCAAAGATATGAAGAAGAAAAATAGAAAAGATTGAGGATTTAAGCCAAATAATTTCAATTCAGCAAAACAAGCTTTCATAGAGTGCCTCACTGTATGCTGGTGCTAGTCCTCTGCTAGATTCTGAGAAAGTCTGTGCCCTGGAGAACTTCACATTCCATTAGAAGAGATTACTGTGAACAAAACAACTGCTGCCACAAAACTATATCATAATGTGGAAGATGTTAAAACAAAGATATAAATAAAATTCTATGTGAACAAAGAAGAGGGGAGATTTATTCTGCTTTGGCAGATGTGGGAGAGTGTGCGCCAAAGTCAGGGAAACCTTCAGAGAGGTGGAGACCTTTGTTCTGGGTCTTGAAGAATGGGTAGAGTTTACCAGCAGGATTAGGGATAGAATGACATTCTAGGCAAAGGGAATGGCTTATGCAAAGAATCCAAGACATGAAAGTACATGGCACACTTAGGGAACAGTGACTAGTTCCTTAGCCCAGCATATTGGGACAGGGTACAGTAGAGAAGTCCAGAAAAGAGAATTTCATCTGTGACGAGCATGGAAGAGGGTTTGGAGATGGAGACAACAATTAGGAGGCTAATAAAAACAATTAGACTCAGCAGGCTGAAATTCAGCTGACAATTCTCCATGAGTAGTTTTATTCTTTTGAGAGAAGAATTGCTGTACTAATTAAGATATCATGCTTTTTGGGATAAGAATTACTGGTTTCTGCTTTTCAATTCCAATAGCTGGCTATAGAAATAAGATTTACTTAAACACTAAGAGGTCATAGCAATGTTTCTGGGTTTCAGAACAGTATTAGGAATAAAAAATTGAAAGGGAAAAAAACCAGTTTTACCACTGACAAGAAAACCTTTTGGAAGATATTTTTAAATGGACGGATGCTCATCAGAAACACCAACAAGAACCCTTTTGAGGTAAGCTCTTGTTTGTTGTAGCTTTTCAAAGGACTACCGCAACTTTGTCTAACCTTCCAGAGTAACAGATTATGTACAAGAAACAATGTAGGAGTCAAAATAATGCAGTTTAGGACAATGGTCCCCAACCTTTTTGGCACCAGGGGCCAGTTTCATGGAAGACAATTTTTCCCGGACTGGGGATTGGCGGGATGAGGTGTCAGGGGTGGGTGTGTGCAGTGCTCAGGCAGCGATGCACAGCCCGTTTCCTAACAGGCCACGGACCAAGGGTTGGGGACTGGAGATTTAGAAGGATCATAAGGTCAATTTACTATTATATAGGCGATATCAAGATCCAGGTAAATTAGTGAATGAAATCTGATCATATGAAACAGTGGTTTTAAATTTTGGAGATCAAAAAGCTCATGGTCTCATTTCACTATACATTCTTCCCATCCTACTCTGACATGGGCAAGGCAGTGAATATTCTAATAGCCTCAATCCAACATACACACTGAAGAACGTTCACAATTTGCAATAGTACATGTTATCACTCAAAGAATACTACAGCATTTCCAAAATCAGATCACATATATCAATAAATCAAATAAGATGTGTGTTTTCATAGTGAAGGTACATACTACCTGATTGTATGATAATATTACCACTTTCAAATGACTGAAATACAAGAATAAATGGTTCTCTTTCGCTACATCAAATCCAGGGATGTACATTTCAGAATTGCCAAAGAAACTTTCAGAACACACACCATTAACTTGGCAACCCTTTAACCAAGTCATTTTCAAAGTTAGATCAATGTGCTACTTGATGGAAAACCATACAAGCAACTAACTCTGCTATAAAGACAGGGTTCAAAATCATACCTTTTAAGAATTATTCAGTGAATAGCCTAAGAGAAGTGAATCTAAACTCACTTCCAGGACATTTAATAAATCCCAGTGACTAAGCATTATGAGGAGAGAGTTCATCATAGCCATTTATGTTTCCCAAGTATTCTAAGCTCTTGCTTGATCACAGATCCATTAATATGGGATGCCAACTCTGGAGAAATAGGTTGAGAAGAATCATGAGGCCATGTCAGGATTCAGCCCTAATGAATAAGTGATGCCTGGCACAGGCCCTATTTGCTAAACTAGGATTAATAGTCTTCTAGACTCAGAACTTATGCACAGAAAGGTACCAATCTATGAAAGACTACTTTCCCCTCACCAATTAGTACGGAAGTGATATTGATATCCAATCGGGGCTTGGCCTTGACTTCCAGCTTCAGTCGAGGAGGATGGAGGCGACTAGCTGCCTGTTGTTGCCAGGATACAGAGCACGGCCATGGCTCAATAAATGGCTCCCAGCCTAAAAGAACACAGGAAATAAGACATCTGTTCAGCAGATATCAAGAGTTTACAGGGGAACACTGTTCACAAATGCTCAGCAAGGACCAAGTGGAGCTTAATGGCATTTTATTTCCAATTCAATTTCACAACAAAAGCACCCCCTTCAGTTACATTTCACCATACAGGTGTCTGTGTTGTCCAGAGGATACAGTGGAAAAGCATATGCACCCCCACCATAGTCTTCCAGAGGTGGCAGGAAGGAGGGCAAGGAGTACACATGCCCTCTTCCATCAAAGAGCAGGCAGGACCTGTTCTTGAGCCTGAAGATGGAAAAGGAGTCTCAGACTGAGGTCAGAAAAATAATACAGCAGCTAAAATAATTATTAAATTTGATTTTCCTGGTTACACAAAACAAACCATTGGTTGAATAAATAGGTACATTTGGGGGCTCATTAACTTTTTCATATGTACAAAAAGTATATAAACAACATAAATGTATAAAGACTAATAATACCACAAACATGTGCCCACTATTCAACTTAAGACAGAAAATTACAAGTTCTTTTGAAGCCCCGGAGTGACACTCCGCCATCTCATTTCCTACCTTCCTGCCTTCCTGCCAACCTGCTCCCACCCAACTCCAGGTAACAATTAGCTTGAATTTTTATAGTTAATCATTTCCTTGCTCTTCTTTATAATTTTGCCATGCATGTAAAATTTCTTAAAACATACTGACTCGTCTGTCCTGTTTGTGATCTTCACATAAATGGAAACTCTGTACGTATTCTTTTTTAAATTTCTATTTTTGCTCAACAACACATCTTTGAGCACGTTTTTGAGCACACTGTTACATTATACTGATGCAGGTTGCTGTGGCACATTTTTTTCCTCTGCTGAACAGTAACCCACTGATGACTATGCAATTTATTTACCCATTCTACTTCTGAAAGACATTCACTTGATTCCAGGTTTGTTGCTATTGGGAAGAATACTACTACAAGCAATCTTGTGCACGTTTCCTAGTACGCACAGGCAAGGTGTCCTCTAGGGTCCAGACCTAGCAGCAATGTAATGCTGGTTGTTGAATATGCTTATATTCCACTGTATTAGGTCATACCAAATTGTTTTCCAAGGTAGTTGTACCCATTTACAATTCTGATAGCAGGGACTATGGCTCAATCTTCACCAATACTTAGTAGTGTCACATTTAATTTCTGCCAATCTGTTGGGTCTGAAAAATGGTATCTCATTGTGATTTGAAAGTCTCAACTTTTCAAGGCAAGCTAATTTTTAACAGATTTTTACATATACTCTCACAATCAGCCATAGAGCAAATCAAATCCAATATTTAACAGAGAGTAGGTACATAAGTCTCCTTACACCATTTGGCACTTAGTTACCTGAACGTGTTCATACAACTTTAAAAGCAAGCAATATTTGGTTGGGGAAAATAAATGATTCTCAGAAAAATAGCTACCATGTGCCCTGTAAGAGTTTGTCTCAATCAGAAAGACCTGGGCCATTATCCTAAAGTGAAATATTTTGAACAATGAGGAAATAAGACTGTTACCTTTAAGTGAATCTAGAACACAGGGAAAACATTAACATAAAATTAAATGCGATATATACTCTAGAACAATCAACAGCAACACAACAAACTGAGGCTTAATTTCTCATTGAAATCAAAGGGAACAATCACTCACAGGCCAAGCCTTGGATTGCACAGCACTGCTTTGCTTCCTCCATCCACACCCACTAGGAATTCCAATGAGAACTTCTCTAAACTCCCATAAAGCAAAGAAGTTCATAGCTCAAACCATTTGGCCCCAGTATATTAATATGATGGCTTCTGAATTTCAACCTGTATAGAGCCTTACCTTGGTTTTCTAATAGGAGGAAAGAAACCAAAATGCTTGCAGTATTATCCAGGTTTTATGTCTCCCAAAAACCACCTTGCTCTAATCAATTATGTTTTGCTTTAGGGAGTAGGTAGGGCAGAATATACATTGTCACTGACTCAGCACACAGCTAATGAAACAAACGAGCCCAGTGGGGAGAGAGATTTGAGGTTTAAAATGGTTAAGGGCATAAATCACCCTTGAAATTTAGCTACTCAGAGAGCCAAACAAATAATCCTTCACTATCGAGCAATGGCAAGTTCTAGAATGAGCCAAAATGCAGGATCACAAAGACTTAACTATAAAACATCTTTTTAATAATTCAGTTGCAACATATCAGATATGTTTTTTAGAAAAATAGAGAATCTTCATTTTCTGTGCTTATGTGGTCACTTGCTTTTAATCTTTCCCTGTCCCACCCTCCTACCTACTTCCCTCATGTAAAATTTTCCCTCATGCAAAATTTATGTGGCAATAGGTCCACGCAAACATTTAAATGTATGTTTTAAATCCCATCATAACATATGCTTTATACTGACCTGATAGAGCACGGTTATAATAATCTCCAGAAAGGGTGAAGTGGGCGTAGCCTTCAGGGCTAGTTCTTACATGTTGAAGAAAATTCAGACCTGCAATGAAAGCAAAATCTTACTGCAGTGACAGGACAGGACAGGATTTGTCTCTTACAGACAAATCACATTAAAACGTTACTGATAGCTAACACTGATGATCTCATAGGACAACACACAAAACTTTGATATTTCATTTATCGTATATTTTTTGTATCAATTTTGGTTTTCAAAAAAATTACGTTAAAATACTATTTATCTTGATTACAGAGTTTTCTGGAACCCCCTTAAATGTTGTGACTCAGTCCCAGCCCTGGCACCCAGATGTATGGGAAGCCTGTGGGAATATTAAAAAGAAATTTCTACCTGAATATATGAAAAGGCGGCAACATTGATAAAGAGCAGACAAGTCCTGATAAATATTAGCTCAAAATTTTAAGATCACCATAGAAAAGTAAGATATCATCTAATTATTCTCTGCAGCAAAGATACTCATGGAAACAGTCAAAATTCCAGTTGTTACTTTTAATCAAGTGGCCCTGGCAGTGCCTAGAAGCACAGGGAAAAGGAAAACCTCCTCTCCAATGTACACAAGGTCAAACTAAAGCCCCAGAACCAAACTTTACTTGAAGGGAGAAGAGGCTGGCAAGACTGAAACAACGGAAAATTAAAAGTAAACACAGCAATGGGATTTTCATTTATTCTCCTCAGTTTAACACTACTTGCAATAATGCACTCAAGGATAAAGTCCTCCTACCCTGGTCTCCATTCTACTAAAGCACAGCTCACAAATGAATAGTATATTACCCTTCAGATGGCCCTATAAGGTGAGCTTTCCAATAAGATTCTGAGTTTTGTTTTTTATTTTCAAGAGATAAATACAGTAGAACCATTATTTTCTGAGCTTATCTTTCAAATGCTTTTAGTAACAGTATTCACTACAATCTTTAGATATATAAAAAGATACAAAAATGGAGAGATGGGGAATGATTTAGCTAGAGTTGTTAATACAATGGAAATTTTATCAATGACAATTTCTATTATTTCCAAACTACAGGCTGAAGGCCACATATGGCAAATAAATACAAATTTCTTTAAAATACGCATAATGAAAAACATATGTGAAACCATTATCTAAATTTCACCCATACAACTAAGTAGAGGACAGCATGAATAACATTAAAAAAAAAGGACAGGCTCTAAATAATTCAGCAATCACTGAAAATATTCCAGATGAATCTGAAAATCAGGACAATACTCACGGGAAAAGGTGAGTTCAGCGAGAGGAACATCACAGTCCATGCAGTCGTCGATAAAGCAGATGCACACGCTCTCAGCTTTGATCTCCACTCCAGAGATGAACGGTGCTGGCACAGCCCCCGGGCTATCTCGGCTGTTAGAGGCCAGGGAAAGAGACTTCAGAGGTTCTGCATTCTTAAACAACCAACTTGCTGCCTTTTTCAATTGGCCTTCAAAGAAATTAAAAAGTGATCAATTCCACCAGTTTCCACAGCTACCCTGGCAACTCACAGAGAAATAAAGTTTTATAGAGATCTGCCAGGCAGCCCCAGGAAGCCTTGATCCCAGAACTATTCTTAGACTTTAAAAAAAAGGAGAAAAATACCCCCAGCATAATAGCAATTCTCCTTCTAGGCAAATAGAATGAGGCCCTCTTTGTTGCACACCCTCTACTCGAGTTTACCACACCCTTCATGACTTGGCTCAAAATGCCCCTCAGAAGTCATCCTCCTCTACTATGACACCTGTTGAAGGAGAGAGGAGAAGAGGAGAGGATCCAAATTCTAGGTGCCCCTTGGTACTTAAGTACTTAATCTTCACTATGTAGTCCTGTGCATATTGATGCGCTACTTTGTAATTATCCTCAAATGTCTTACTTTGTGTATAATGTGTCTTCTCAATCAATCCCAAATTCCTTGAGAACGGAGAGCAATACAGAATTGCATGTGTGCAATATGCAACTGTTAAATAACAGCTGCTTTAATATAATCAGATTACTAACACCCCCCCAAAAAAAGCAAAGCAAAGCAATGTAACCCCATACTTATAAATCACCAGAGGCCAATACATGGAACAGTGTAAGTGGTCAAGTGCATGGGCTCTGGAGCAAGATGGTCCAGCTTCAGATCCTGGTTCTACACTTACTAGCTGTTAGATCTTGGACAAGTTACTTGATCTCTTTGTGCCCTACAGCTGTGGTCCCCAACCCCCGGGCAATGGCCCAGTACTGGTCTGTGGCCTGTTAGGAAATGGGCCGCGTGTTACCACCTGAGCTCCACACCACCTCCCCACAACCGACACCCCACCCCCGCGCCCTCAGTGCATGGAAAAATTGTCTTCCATGAAACTGGTTCCTGGTGCCAAAAAAGTTGGGGACTGCTGCCCTACAGCACTCACTTAAGAGGACTGACAGGAGGAGGAAATGATGAGTACATGAAAAGTTCTCAAAGCTGGAGTCTGGCATATAATAAAGGTTCCATAAACATTAGTTGCTAATATTAGCTTTATTACAGATGGAACTAAGCTTTAGTTAATGAAGAAATAAAAATTAACAAAGAAATCCAAAAGGCTCTTAAAAAATTTTTTTAAATGTGTTTGAATTGTTAAAGAAAGAGTAAAAACATAGGAAAAATAAACATTAAGGGATATCAAATTAATAAAACAAAAGCAATGATAACTAGGGTAAAATAAAACTAAGGAACCCTTGATAACTAGTGTTATTCACCTTCATTTTTTTCAAAATGAAAAAGGTAATAGTTAATGCAAACAATTACGCTGTGAGACAAGCATTTTCACACATAATTGGCTGGAATGTAACCTGGATACAATGTTTTTAGAAAAAGATTTATCAATTCAAGTAAAGAGCCTAAAAATACATTATACCTTTTGGTCAAGTATTTAAAATACTAATCTCTCTACCAAGGAAATACTTAAAAGACATAGACAAAAGCTGCCACCAAAAAATGATTATTACAGAACTGTGTGTGTATGCTATTGAAAAGTAAAGATTGGTTAAATTACAATATGTCCTTATAGTCAAAGTAAAAATATCAATATTTACAAATAATTTTAATGAGATGGGAAGATGCTGCTAATATACTAAGATTGTAAAATTATAATTCAACAAATAATTCAATTAAATATTATTTAAAAGACCATAAAATTATATTTTCAACACAATCTACCAATACATATTAATAAAATATTACATGTGTATAGATATACAGACCATAATACACGGAGAAATAGAAAGAGAGTGTGCATGCAAGCATAAAGACTGGAAGGAAATACAGCTGTGCTGTACTTCTCTTTTTTAAGAGAAAAGCGAACAAAGAGGGAGGTGGAAGGGAAGTGAGATGCAATTCGAAAGAATATAGGCTTTGGAGTCAGGCAGACCTGGCTTTAAACCCATCTTAGGAGACTAAGAGGTGACCTCAGACAAGTTTATTTTATGAATCTACTTAACCTATCTGAGCCAGTTTCCTCACCTGAAGTGAGAATAATAATGTCTACGTCCAAGGGCTACGAGGACTCAAGAGAACACAGAGACAGGCACACAAGATAAACAGTCCTGATTACCAGCATCACCACCATTAGCACTACCACTAGCAACAGTGGCTAACGTTTAGAAAGTTCTGTGTGCCAGGCACTTAAAGGCTTAGCATATAGCGTCTTATTTATATCAAAGCTCTGAGGGAGGGCCCCTTATCCTGATTTTATAGATAAGGAAACACTAGTACAGAGAGGCTAAGCAATTTGCCCAAAGTCACTAATAAGTAGCTAATGAGCAGCAGGGAAGGGATGTGAACATAGTCAGCCAGCTGCAGAGCCCACATTTGTATCCACGGTAAAATACCGCTGCTCATTATGATTACTGACCCAAGATTACATTCAGTCTACAGAAGACACATAAAGGGTCTTCTAAATACACTCAGCTCTTTAAGTCACCTTGTGTAGCAGGGGAGGAAATGAGAAGGAGCTTATCATCAAGGTAAGCAACAGACAGTGGAACCTCACTCAAATTACCTTGACACACCAGAAGAGCTTTGCGACAATCGTCCATGCTGAATCCCAGCTCCTGTAGTCTAGCCAGCTGTAACTCTAGGAAAAAAATGGTATACAATTTTTATAAATAATTTTATGTAAATTAATCCATAAACTAATTTAAGAAAAAAAGAAAAAAATTTCAGAAACTGGTGAGTAAAACATTTTATTTCTCTAAACAAAAATAGGTTCCTTATTAGAGATTTCTATCAAGTGTACTCTGAAAACTTCGGAGAGAGAGAAAGAGAGAGACAGGGTCTCGCTCTGTCACTCAGGCTAGAGGGCAGTGGTGTCATCATAGTTCACTACAGCCCCAAACTCCTGGGCTCAAGTGATCCTCCTGCCTCAGCCTCCTGAGTAGCTGGAACTACAGACACATGCCACCACACTTGGCTATTTTTTATTATTATTTTTGGTAGAGACAAAGTCTAGCTATGCTACTCAGTCTGGTCTTGAACTCCTGGCCTCAAGCAATCATCCCATCTCAGCCTCCCAAAGTGCTAGGATTACAGGTGTGAGCCAACAAGCCTGGCCTCTTTTCCTTATATTGACTGTGTTTGTAAAAAGCTTAAAATTAAAACAGTGTTATCATATAACTTTGGAAGAGAATTCTCAAAGTTTAAAACTAAACTTTAGCATTACGCATATAACTCTGGAAGAAAACATAAGGGGAAAAATTGTATAAGCTAGAGCAGTTGGTTTGGGGTATTCTGTTTGTTTTCAAACTTAAAAATATGAGAGTCAAACTATGACTAACACTTATACTTAATGACACACAATTAGACTCTGAACAATTTAATTGTGCAAAAGAAAATTTTAAGAGTTAAAAAGAAAGAGAGTTATTAGGTAGACTGAGTTTTATAGTCAAACACCTACCCAAGACAGGATCTAAGGTGTGTCTTGTCCCTTCTCTCATTTCCTCTCCAACTCGAGACGCACCTGGAAGGTAACTGCTAACAGCGTCGGCTTCCAAGGCCACCGAGTCCGGCACTGCAGCATTAGCTTGTTCTGGGATGGATTTTGCGATAGCAAGAAACAGCTGAACGTCATTATAGGAGAGTCTGATATCCAGGGCTTGTAACTGAATCTAACAAAATGTAAAAGCAATTTTTTAAAGTTGCATTTGATTTTGCATCCACGCCTCTTACAGATATAATTCCTATTTCATGTTCTAATAGTTCAACAGATACTACAGCAAATTTCTCATTTAAAAGATTGTAAAGATCTTGAAATTAAGCACTAATAACCATAAGGTAAGATGTCTCAGCTATGAGAGAGTAAATGGCCACAAAACTGCACCAAATAGAAAATACTAAGCTAGAAAAATTACTAGAGCAATTAGTATTTCAGCAGGATGATTTTCATACAAGTATATTAATCATCAAAGCGGAGGATCAAAGAATGGCTCTGAGGGAGAAAGCACCACCTATTAGCAATATTTTGTTAATCCACTTTGCATGGATCTATTACATTTAATTTTACTAATCTCTAAAACAAACTGACCAACAAAATTTAACTCTTCCTTAACTTTAAATGAGTCAAGTTTGACACTAATATTTCCTGAAATCCAGTCTTCCTCAGAGATCAGCAATATAGCTACCAGTGGTAAAGAAAGGCAGTACAGACACCAAGACCAGAGCACTGCAGAAACGGGGAATCCGGATGACTGTCTGATGTTACTTTATTTATTAACTTTTTTTCCTGTGAGGTACCACTAAGATCAAAAGTCAGAATGTCTTCTCCCTCTCTCTTTCAATCTCCTATGGTTCAAATGGATTAATTTTTCCCCTTCTACCAAAGAAATCAAGCACCCAATTCTCAAGCCTTTCTTTCCTTGCATCACCCTGAATCCTCCTTACTCCCTATGTACCTCTTTGCTCCAGTCAGACCTACCTGTCCCTCCTCCTCTCTGTCTAACTGCATCCTGCCCTTCCCCCAGACTCATCTTACCTTGAGTCCCACTCACAATGAATATTCCTATCTATAAGGAGTTCTGAGTTTTGGTTAAATTCTATAGAACTTCAAGATAACAGGCCAAGGAAAAGATCTTTTATCCTCCCTAAGACTGCAGGATCTTCTAGGACAGAGACAATACCATACTTATTTTGTATTTGCTGAAGTAACTTAAATGTTGTTGGCTCAGAGTAAATAAGACTGCCTAGGTAGGAAAGCGTTTGAGTATATCAATGTATTCTATAGATTTTGCATCATTACCTCTAAGACAGGTGGAAAATCTTCACTATTGAATGCATCCATCAATCCTGAACTATTCTGATACGAAGAATTTCCAACCAACTCCACTTGGATTTGTACGGGATCAACAATTGAAAGAGCTGTATCGTGCTCATTCCCTAGTCGACATGAAAATACCTAAAGAATGAGATGCAACAGGGCAAGAATTAATGTTTCATTTAAGAAGGGTCTAACCATCAGCACAAAAAGAAACTATCTCAGAAGAATCAGCCCTGTATTATCACAAGACCCATAACAAATGCTGAAATAAATATTGTGAAGAATAAGGCTGATTACTCTCACCCACGGCCAAGAACAGGCACAGTGGTTCACCCATAGGAAAAGGCAGTTCAGCAATACCTCCCAAAAGGCTTAAAAATCTCACATCCTTTGAGCCAATAATCCTACTTCTCTATAGGAACTAGCCTAAGGAAATAATGCAAAATATATTTCATTTTCACAACGAAAAAAAACACACCAAAATGTCAATAGAAATGACATGTGGCAAGATAGGTTATTTTCCCTCCTCTCATAATTTTATAATTAGAAATAAATACATTAATTATTGAAGCTCAGTGAATATGGAGTTCATTATATTTTTCTGTTTACTTCACAAATGTTTGAAATGTTCTATAATAAAACACTAAAAAATAAATATATTTGTGGGGAAAGAGAAGGAAGAAGGGAGCAAGGGAGAGAGGGCTCTCGTTTAGGTTATTTCGTTTACTCAAGAAGAGTACAGAGGAAAGAACGGAGCATTCAATTTGATCCCCTTTGTCCCCCCCACCCTTTGGTGCTATTGAAAAACATGTGACACCAAGGTCCTTTGCCATATTCAAAATTAACTCATACTTTGCAAATTCCCCCCCCCAATGATATATCAAGCAGGTCTTAAAATTCAGATCCAATTGTGCTGCCTAAAGAATAAGAATGAAAAGAGTTTATAGCAATCTCAAATATTTTGCCATGTAGTTTTTCTAAGACTTTGGAGCAGAAAAGTTTCATTTTCCTTTTTCCTTCAGGGGATTCTGCTATACAAAACCCAACTGTACCTGACAGTTCATTAATCAATCACCAAGATTTTCCATTCAAAGCTGGTATTGTGGTGGCTTGGAAAGTAGATGAATTGCCGTTCCATAATCAACTCATATCACACCAGCATGCAAACCCTTCCTCTCAAACTGAGGTTTCTTTACATGAGAGAAATAAGTGGTCAAGAAGTGAAATCCCTACAGGTTTTATTCAGCTATATTTGAGCCCCCCTAAAAAGTACCATATACAGCTGACAGTGAACATAAGTTTTATTCATTCAGCCTCCTAACAATACCACTGGAAAGAAAAGGGAATGAAAACTTCAATTGTAAAGCAAGAGGAACGCTGACCAAATATTCTAACAATATAACAAGAGGAATATTAGCAAAGATCAGTGAATTACAAACATCATGAAATTTTTAAGCTAAAAAGGCCACTCAAGGGCAAATTATCTCCTTCATGAGATTACATCAGAAACCCAAAGCGCCATTATTAGAGATGCACTCCTTTAGGTTAGGCATAACTGTCTAGAGCCGCCCTTTTAAAGATCAGATATTCCTGAAAGGATAATACAAAAAATCCTTAACACCTTTTATAAACAAGTTTCCATTACTCCAAAGCCCTAGTTCTTCGCAGAGCTGCGCTCATGCAGGGGAAGTGAGGGCCCCGGCCTCACCTTCACAAATTTGCCAAGAACTAGACCTGTAGAACTAGAGGACACAACAAAGTGCCTGACAGGGTAATGGGGACTAGAAGAGTCTCCTTGTACTTCTTGAGGAAGGGAGAGTAAATTCCCTCTGCATATTTAGAGGACTGAATTCACACATTAGAATAACCTAGTAGATTTAAGAAGAAAACAAAGAGGAAAAGAGGGCAAGGGTCCTCCAATTCCAAGAATTATTTCCACTAATCAAAGTTTAGAAGGTAAAATTCCCTTCCAGATGTTTTTCTCTTGAGCCGAACATGTAGTGCTGTGATCGACATGTAGACGTCTTACCTCGATGCCAAACAAACTTCCTGAAAAGGGGCGGTCGACAAATCGGGGCTTATAGGTAAGCACTGTGGTGCCTTTTAGAATAATGGCATTGGTATCGAAGCAGGACACGTCTTCGACGACTACAAACTCGGTGCCTGAAAAGGACAGCATCAATCAAGCCAAAGCTAGGAAGCTGGAAAACACCAGGTTGTTGCAAACAAAGCAGCCCATTTCCACCCAGCAAGAACGTTAACCAGTAAGATTTGTTCTCCAAGATGTCTGTCAACATTCTGCTTCACTGTCATTCTGAATAAATTTTCTGTCTGGCCAAGTACAGCTCAACCAACAGAGCACTGCAATGGCAGAGAAGATTGGGATGCAGTTTCTCTCTTTAGCATATATTTTTAAGCTAGAGAGAAACTGCACCCCAGTTCTCCAGGGAGGCCTACCAGATGCAGAAACTCAGAAAATCATCCTTTCTCCAAGTGATGCTCTGATCGAAAATCGCAGGAAGTAAATTCAGGTACTAATATTCGTCAGGCATCATAAGGCACTATCTGGCATCTACGTAGCTGTTTACAAAGTTGTTTACAAAGAAAGTAGACCAAGTTAATATTGAGATTTTTTAAATCAGTAGGTGCAGACAGTTTTCTACTCATTTGTGCATGGCAAATCCACTCTGGTTTTACACTGTGTTTTCATCAAAAACCAGGTACAAATGGAGCTTTTGTAACTGAACCCATTTAAAATCCATTGTGTTAGCCAGCTTCATCAAAACCATTGAAAAGTAGGTAGGGGTATCACAAACATAGCAATGAACACACAAATATATACAGATGCACTAGAAAAGTTTACTAGTCAACAAAAACAATAGTAAATCCATCTGTATGAGAAAATATTCTTTTTGTAAAGAAAATAACAATACTCTCACTTATTTATCTTCAAAATTGAGATTTTTCACATACCAGATCTGTCTAAACTCAGTAAAGCACATCTGTTGGGGCCCTAAAGATCAAACAGAAAATTGAAGCCAGATTTCACATTGGGAAAAAAGACCACTGCCCAGGTGGGCCCTCAGGCCAAGCACATGAACTAGGCAGGCAGAGGAGAGGGACAAGAGACCCCACAGCCTTCAGTGGGCCAGGCAGCTCACACCTGAAAATGGAGGTCAAGAACTTTGACACTTGTTGGTCTGAAAAAGATGCAAATGTGTAAGTGTTCATGTCAAAAAATGAAGTAATAGAGAAATCATCCTGTAAGACAGACATTGAGCCTAACATCCAAACTAAGCACCAGTGAATCACATCTATGTAGAATCACCTGTTACATTGACCTTGACCTCCAGGTGCCTTTCATTGGACACAGGAAGGGAAGACCGCTTGGTAACTACTCCACTCTTCACAGTTTTGGGAACGCTAGCAGATTCACTGCTAGAGTTACGATAGCGAGAAGGAGTAGCTTTATTTTGTTTCTTAATGTCACTTGGAGTGTGGAGAAAATCATGGACTAAGAGTAGCCAGTCAAATATGAGAAACACACGGAGATTGTTGAGAACTACTGTAAAACAGGAGGAATCCTTGGTAGATCTACAAGAAAGAAGACAGAAAAATAAAATAGGAAAAACAAACTTGGTATTTCAATAACCTGCAAACGTATTACTCGGTTTTGGCACGTGGTATTCCAATATTTTCTGAACCGCCAGGCTGAAGTATCAATAAACTCTGAACACTGGTTTAATAACACATTCAGTGAATAACTCAGTCATATTTTTAAACAAGAAGGAATATGCTATAAGAAAGCAGAATAGTGGAGCCCAGTGGTTCTCAGTTGGGATGATTTTGTTCCCCAGAAAACATTTGGCAGTGTCTGGAGACATTTTTGATTGACATTTTGATTGCAATAGCAACGGGAGGATGGGTGGGGGTGGGAGGGTTGTTATTGGCATCCAGCAAGTAAAGGCCAGAGATGCTGCTAACCATCCCACAATGCACAAGACAGCAAGGAATTATCTGACCTTCAAAATGTCAATAAGTGCTAAGGCTGAGAAACTCTGGTATAGAAAGAACACAGGCTTTGAAGTCAAAGACCCAGACTTATATACTGTCACTTACAAGTTATGTTGTTTTGGGTAAGTCAGCTACCTTCTCTCAGCCTGTTTCCTCACTTATAAAATGACAAATATTAATATCGTAAGAAATAAAGCACCAGGCACACAACAGGCATTTGATAAATGCCATTTTCCTTCCTGATAGGCTATTGTAAGAAGATCAATGAGGCACTCTTTATCTGATGTCTAGGATCACTTCTTTACAAACTCAAAGTTTACATACTAGTATTAGTTTCTCTAGCTGAAATTGATCTTTTAGCCTGAGAAGAGAACAAATAAGATGACATTTACTGTGGGTATATCCCCTAAGCAACCTAGAGGTGGAGTTGAGGGAGGAGGGGAGCACTTGTTTTATAGCCCCCATTACTTCAAATTCTGTATTTGAAGTGAAAACCCAAGGAAGACCCTCAGGCCTGGCCTCAAACCATGGTGTAGTCAGAGGCTTTATCCAGGCCTACTAGTATATTAGTAGGCCAGGCCTACTAATGGGTAGGATATTACCCCTATCCTACCCAGATGGGTAGGACGAAAGAAACATGGGCTAGGGACACACTTACATAGGGTTTTCTGGGTTGAACTGGGTTCTGAAGCCCAAAAGAGAGACTCTGGAGCTCTAGCTACTACACGTACCTGGTCCTCTGCCCTAAATGGTGCTTTTATTCGGGAAAAGCTGATTTGAAGATATTTCTAAGGCTGTTTTCTCTAGTCTCTCGTTTCTCCTAAACCTGACTCGCTGCCTCTAGTAAAGGGCGTCATGATGCATGTCTCCTTACAGAGACAGCATTTTTCACAGAAACACTCTACCCTTTTGTAATAGAGAAAAAATGTTGCCCTCAGTAAAATTTTTCCACCCCAGTTTAAACACAGATTGTCAGAGCTATGTACTAACTGGAAAGTCACAGTGTGTTGAATCCCTTTTCTGGAAAATATTTCAAGCCTTTAAACACTGTGAAGTGATTTATATTTGACATGTAAAATCCCAACAGAAGAGTAATTCTTCTTGAGACACGGAAGGCGTTCAAAATTTCCAATCAAGAGAACATTTTACTCCTCTCAGTAACAATGGTATTTCTGTTAGCAAGAGCCAAGGTAAGACTTTATTATTTGACTCCAAGAAATTATATATACCTTTAATATATAAATCAAGTAATATTTTGAGGCTCCTTGTACATTAAAAATATGACACATGAGACAACTACCTGATGGTTTAGGAAGCCAGATCTATAATAATGAAACAAACTCAAAAAGAAATTGTTTCTGCAGATGGACCAAACATATGCGAGCCTCTTGTCCAAATAAACATCTTCAAACAAAGGAACAAAACACTACCATCTTATCATCTCATTGCAATCAGACCAACAATGAGAAACCTGGTAGGCCTGAAGACTCTTAG